TGGGACCCTCTCATATCCTCTACATCTAAAGGGCACTGTACATTAGGACACCATTTTCTGCCACTCACTGGCCAATCAGTTTGCAATGCAGCCCAGCCTACACCTGACAAAGAGTTGTCTTTACAGACCTGCATCTGCTCCTACTCACACTTAAGAAGACACAGAAACAGAGGATGTGTCTACACTTGCAGCTCAGGGAGTGATTCCATCTTGAGACAACAAACTCATGCTAGTTCTCAGCAAGCTGACACCTTACAGAATGTATCCATGGCAGAACGAGTTGTAGGACAAGCTAACTACTCTGAGAGCAAGCCCAGAGTCTTGGATAAGCATGTAGTTTGGGGAGACTCACCTATCTTGCAATTGCAGTATTTTCTTTTCAGCACCCAAGGGCTACATCTACACTGTGGGTTTTTTGCGGAAGAGGAAATGCAAATGGAGCGCTCATTTGCATATCTTATTCCAATCCTTTTTATGGAAGAGGTTTTTGCGATAAAAAGCCCTGTGTAGGCACGGCCATTTGTCAGAAAAACCCCATTTTGCGCAAGAGCCTGTAAACCTCATTTTTTGAGGAATAAGGGCTCTTGCGCAAAAGGGTATTTTTCTGATAACTGGTCCTGTCAACACAGGGCTTTTTATCACAAAAACCTCTTCCACAAAAAGGATCAGAAGAAAATATGCAAATGAGAGCACCAGATATGCAAACGAGCACTCCATTTGCATTTCCGCTTCTGCAAAACAAACAGTGTAGACATAGTGTAGGGCAGGGGTGTCCAAACTTTTTTCAAAGAGGGCCAGATTTGAAGAAGTGAACATGCGTGAGGGCCGTCCCCGGACTCTCAGCCCCAAGGCGGAGGGCCCGCAGGGTCGGAGGCGGGCGGAGAGCGCAGGGCACGCCGGCCTCACGGCAGCCCGGGGGCAGGGCGAACCCGCAGCCGAGCGGGGGAGCGGGGCTGCGGACGTGCCCTACAGGGCAGGCTCTAGGACCGCGGAGGCCCTGGGCG